TATTATGCCAGAGTGGGAGGGATAAGCACAGCTGAGTTGAACAGGTTGGAGATGAAATTTTTGTTTAGTCTAGATTTCAGACTTCAAATAAGTGTCAACACATTTCAAAGATACTGTTCTCAGCTGCAAAAGGAATCTTCGGAAGGGCATCAAATTGAACGGCCTATCCGAGCCTGTGGAATTAAAGAGAGTTGGTCAAGCAAAAGTGATACGCAATGCGCCCCTACAATTGCGAGATGAAGATATGAAGTTATCTTGTTGTATTAAGTAAAATACCACGTGATGCTTGAACACAGTTGAAGTTAGAGAATTTGGATGATGAATAGAGATGTCAGATGTAGTTCTAGTGATGATTCTTGAAGAAGCAGCAAGCGTGCTCGGTTGCATCATTTTTTTTTTCCTTGTGCCATTACTTAGCAATGACTGGTTCATGTTCCACGCTGTTGTTTATTTCTCAGCGTGCACCTTTGTGGCGTTGCATCTTGTGTTTCCAGTATCCTTGTGCAAAAGTCATGTACATTAAAGATTGACTTTGTGGTCATGAAAATTAGCTGCTAGAGCTTCCTCCCCTATATGTGTGATTGAGATAAAAGTTAAAATCATATGCTTGGATTAAACTGCGATTCAATTCTCTTCTTGGGATGGATTTAGACACTTTTCTTTTTTTTGTCATGAAGAGGTGTAGTTTACAAGTAATTGCTACACATCAGGAATACAAAATCCTACTGAGGTTATTGTAGGAGAGATAAGCAAATTGTCATCACGGTGAATCTACGTTTTCAATGGACTCCTTGCACATTTAGCCATTCCCAAATTTCTCAACCGCCAAGCTGCATCTCTTTAATCAATGCTGTTATGATTTCCACTAAAATAAAGCTGTCTCCTCTATATGGCACCTGGTTTTTCCAACATCAGCAAGCCATAGGTATCTGAAGTCTGTTTCTGACAGCTGTTGTGTCCTCAAGTCGAGACAATTTAAACTTGCCAGCAAGATACATCCTACAGCATTATCTGGGAGGTCTCTCCAGTGCAACCCAACCAAACTTCCCTTTCCGGAAATCAGACAAGACGCGGAATGCTGCTTGCTGGATATCCCCATTGAACAAGCGAAGGGCTAGCTTCTCAATAAATCTGAAAGTCAAAAAATTAACAACCAAATCAATCTGGAATTCATTGAAAAGGAAATGCCAGGATGACTTTTAACTCCATGGAAAGCTTCCTAAAACTATATTATTAATCAGAATGTATAGAACAGGTTTTTATTTGCTCATGGCAATTTATTTGGTTGGTTTTTCGTTCTTCCTGACCGCTCTTTTGGAATCTTTTCCTGATCATCAGCTCATTTCACGTGAAGATTATAAGGTCCCAGATTAAGACATACATTTTACCACATTGACCATCCAAATCCATCTTGTAGCGGTTTTGAAGAGCTTTCATCCCTGCAAAGTAAACATTAAAATCTGTTAGCAGCAGCTGGTTTCAGTCAAAAGAGCCTCAAGGAAAAATGTAGAAGTAAAATTTATGCAAATGTGAATTGCAATCAAACAATCAACTAAATAGTTTCCTTGCTATAGAATACCATGACTATACCACATTTTCCGTAGAGAATAAGTGTTACTTGTTGACAGAGCATTGTTTCTACGGTCTAGAAAAAGCAACAGTTTTAGACAAACAAAAAGCTAAATCTATCAGTTTCAATAAATAATTTAATTCTGCCAACTCTTCCTCAAGCTCTTCATCCAGGATTTACTGTCTACGAAGAAATAACTACATAGATTTTCATCTACTAAAAATCACTTGTTTTCCTTGCTTTTTCTTCAAAATTCCCCATATCTGTCGAGATTTGGCTAGAAAATTTTAGCCCCAAAGTCAAAAGCTTCTCACCTGAATCAAGGTTTCATCCATCACTGATGGGATCTAAGCAATAGCTAAAACTTGTTGATATGGTTGCTAGCGTGTCTTTGGCCAAGTATAATGTTGAGAAACAAGGAAAAAGAGGTATGACATCTTATTATGAAATGGCCCTCTTGAGATACCCTGTCCCTATTTTGAATCCCTATTCTCCTGTAACTTTGTCAGTTCAGCTTCCCACAGCTGTTAAGATTATCTAATGCTTGTTACACCATCTTGATCCAAAAAAAAAAATCACTTTTCTGAAAAATTTAGTTTTGTTCTCACCATCCATAATTTGAATTATGATTGTACCACAGAAGTTATATGCTAACTCTCACTCACTAACATAAAAGGTGCCAACACTGACCAGTCTATCAATTTAGTCCTTTGCAATATGTGATGCAAACTGACATTGTGTAGTAAAATTCACTTGACATGAAAGTCCTAGCTATGAAACTAGAGTATTTTCTTGACATTTATTGCAAAAAAAAAAAAGCCACTAAATGAGTAAAACATAATCCATCATGCATACCTACTGTTGGAAGCTTTGCTAACATCTGCACAAGAATGACTGCAACATCAGCAACGTCATATGACCTCTCTCCAATGTCATCACAGATGGCAAGCTTTATCGCAGCTGCTTGATCACTAATTCGCATTGGGAGTATTCCAGGAGAGTCCAGCAACTCAAGATCTTTCCCAAACCGAACCCACCTTTCAAAGAAGTAAAAGAGGTAAAGAAATGAGTATAAGAAATATGTTTTATCATGCCAAGCTTAAAATAAACTTTGGAAATGTTGTTTTGCCACCACAAAAGGAAAAACAAAAATTAGTTCTATTAAGATGGAATAATACCAGAACTCTTTAGTTCTGAAATTCTTATAATATATATTTATCCAAGAAAAGAAATATTAGTAGTATACAATAAAACTCTAAACAAAATTTCAAACCATTGAACAACTGTAAATTAATTGCACACCATTTCAACATTTTTTTTTAAGAAAAAGTGACAAAATACCTTTTTATACAATTTTTTCCACAATGACAAACTCTGAATTTCTTAGTATTTCACAGTGCAGGATTAGACATTTTTCATACTCATTGAATGCTCTGCTTTTCCAAACCCTCACCCTTTAATCTTCTTCATAACTAGTTTCCATCTAAACGACAAAAAAGAAACAAAAAGCACCAAAATACATACTTCAGTTCTCTTGTAACTCCAGGTCTAGGAGCTGCAGGACACATTCTTCGTTTCAGCAAACGGTTGATCAAAGATGATTTCCCAACATTTGGATACCCAACTATTCCAGCTCGAACCTGGACAATAATATATAAAAACATAAACAAGTATGTTAACATTTGATGCGAAGCTTTACAATATGGATTCAGGCATTCAGCACTGGTTATTCCAAAGAAAATCTATACTGATATATTAACTTTTTCTGATAAGCATTATTAAAGGGCTTATCTAAATAATTCTACCAGTTTTACAGACCTAATTCATACAAGTCCAGCAAGTGTTGACTCCTTATTGCTCAAAATTCATTAGTCATATTTGGACATATAAAACTTGTAATCAAGCCCAATGAATATTTCATAATGAAGTTTATAAAATATAAATAAGCAACAGAGAAAACTTGCAAAAAGCAGTGAACAAAAGAAGCTACGACACAACTCCAGAATTAAAAAATAGGCATGCTAACAATGCAGAAAAACCCACCGGACGAGGAAGGAGTCCTTTGGCTCTGCGTTTAACATTTACACCCACCGCTAATGACTTTGCCAACCGACCTAGCTTCATAGTCCCCTGTGTTTGCCAAATTTAGATAAGTTATTTACCAAAACATGCTCAACTACAAAAGGAAAAAGCTCAAAGAGAATATCTTATTCGAATACCATTCCAAGTTGCCCATTGGAGAAGACAACCTTCGTCCCCTGCTTTGAGAAATACATTGCCCAAGCATTCCTATCTGCAGTAGATATCATGTCTTCTCTGTTTAAAACTAAAATCCTCTTTCGATTACCAAGCCATAAATCCATCTGTGCTCATTCCAAACTCAGCACATAACAAGTTAACAAAAGCAGCCAAAAAAGGAAAGTGCTAATTCTGCTGAAAACGCAATAACCAAATGACAGAAAAGGCTAACCTGGGGATGAGTAGTAGACAATGGAATTCTAGCATCTCGTACTTCTATAACAACATCCATCAACTTGAGTTGCCCTTTTAGTTCTTTTTCTGTTTTTGCAATATGACCAGGATACCACTGTACCATTTGCCAAAATACCCGACACCCAAAAGACACCAAAAAAAAAAAAATCATTTTTAATGCTCATCAGAAATTTTAATCAAAATAAACAACAACCTACTTATACCTGGACTGGACGCAGTGCCCTGGTCCAGTAGTAAAGATCAGCATCCATTTCAACCCAATCAGTTTCATCTTCAACCGCGCCATTGACATTCTCATTTTCACGCCACGTCGGAGTTTTCCCACCGACAATCTGCAATGATCGGGGATTGAGTTAGATTAGTTATTAAAGAAAATGAAAACATGAAATTATGGATTAGTTCCGGGAGATGAGCAAGCTTGCCCGGATGGTGGGAGGGGGCGAGGAGAGAGAAGCGGTGGCTGAGAGAGCTGTTGTTCGAGAAAGTTTGGGGTCTGGGCTTGGAGAAGTTGGGCATTGAATAAAGTGAATGGGGATTTTGGGAGAGGGCAACCACAGTCCTGATAGCTGGACAGTCATCTGTGTATCTCTACAAGGCTGCTCTTCAGTTCGAGTTCCGTTTAGATAAGTTTGGAAAACTGGTTATTTTATTAGCCTACTGCATCTTTTGGACTGTTCTGTTCCGACTGAATTTTTGCCTACGAATAAGATTTTTGAGAAAGAAGTACAAAAATATAAATTTTTAGTGGTAAAAGAACAACCGGAGAATGAAGATATAGATGAACTGGGCTAAGAAGTAAAAGATAGCTCATAAAAAGGCAAAACTATAAGTGGATTGATATTTTGGGTGAGGCCATGAACCGGCCCACCTAATGCTGGCCAGTTCTTTTATTACCCACAACTAACGCTCCAGCCATGACCCATAGGCCATAGGCGAGACCCAAAAGCCAAGCTCATCAATCTGCAGCCGTCCCCATTGATTTAAATAGATTTGTTGTGGTACGTGGAGTTAGAACCAGGAGACGTGATGGCAGTTTGCATCACAAATCACAGGACTTACACGCTTAAATGGCTAATAAACCTAACTGAAAGTGGAGGATAAAGAAGTATGGGGTTGGAATGATTTTTTTCATTTTTTTTTTTACTTAATCCAAATAAAAGAGATGTTATTAGTTACAGTGAACAAAATACACAGGTTATCAGCAAAATTTCTTTACATCAGATCGACCTGTAATTTCTAACTCCTAAACTATTTATACGTGTAGATGGTGTTCCAAGTTCCAACTCTAATGTTAGTCCAAAAGTAAGGCAAAATCATTTATAGTTGTCTTGCGTCAATTTGCACAGGCTTCGCAAGTGCTTTTATAAAGTAATTGCGTATATCTGGAACCATGCGTTGAATCAAACGAGCACACCTGCATGATTCGAGCCATGAAAGTGGAAACAGCTTATAGCCTGACAAGTTTTTGGACAACAAAACACAATTTGTCCTCTTATTATAAAAGGGAAGGGAAGGAATAACATACCACGGCTTGGTACTCAGTCTTTCAAAGTGCTCTAATATGAAAAGTATGCATGCTTCCCGCAGCGTCATGGCATTAAAGGCCTCCGCTAAATCATACATCAGCGTAACATTCTCCACAGAAATATCCTTAAGAAGGATAATGGAAAGCCATTTCTCTTCAGTCATCAGAATAACAAACAGCTTATGTATCTGTCATAATCCAAGTACTAGAATTATCACACTAAAACACACCTGGGATATAGCATACTCGCAAAGATGCTTAAGGCCATCAAGAAGATACTGATCAGCAGCTCTAAGAAGATCTTGAGCAATATCAATCTCCACATTCACTGATCCTGTGTATATATACCTAGAAGCACAAGACCAGAATAATACAACTCAGGTTGTTTGAAGAAATTCATTTTATACTTATAAGGGAAAATTCAAAATTCTACCTCATCATTAACTCAAAAACATCCCATCTGATATTTGGAATCTCCACATCTTTGGCATCCCTCTCCTGCAATGCCCATTTTCATGTTCTTAATACAATACCTTGAGTTACTCCACATCTACAATATTAAAAATTATTTATTGTACTATCCAGTGATGTAATCCTCAAACTTATGATTTCTTTTTCCATCTTGTTAGTTATGTTAAGCCTTTTATTTCTATGGATGGTGACAACAAAGTAGCATACGTTACAAACAGATCATGAAAAAAATATACTTGAATTGTATAACTCACCCGGTAACCACCATCAAACATTGCACGGAATGTATCCGAAGACGCAAGAAGACAAATTCTGTGAGCATAGAATCGTTTACCTGAAAGAAGAATATGCAAATTGCAGGTGAATACAACTTAAGCAACAATTTTTTAACTTAATATAGAAGAGGAAATATAAAGATTTAAACTGAATTAAGAATAATAACAAGCAAAGAGCAAAATCATTTCATAAGAAATGTCCATACCTTCAACCAAGAATGTAATATCAGATAATGTAGGATTATTTACATACTGCTCACCCAAGTACACCTGCATTCCAAAAATAAAAGACAAGAGAAGACCACTTAAATCTAACGGGAAGGAAATTTTTAGCATCATTCATATCCCAAGCTAGTAAAGATTTACCCCTAGAGCATCAAATTTTTATCAGTTTTTAGGCAAAATAATGCCACACAAGGATTACATTGCTTAAAGTAATAAAAAACTACTGCTATGTAGGATCTAATGTTAAAAAGAAAAAGGTGGCAAAAAAAAGTAGTCACCAGCCTCATATATAAACCATGACCTTATAAACAATAATAATTAGACAAAAGAATTTGAAATTTAGGAAATTTTAGGTAAATATGAATAATAACAGTGATACAGATTATGAAAAATTAACTACAAAAAGGTGGTTATAATAACAAAAAGAATCCTATCCTGCTAGCGAATTGTTCATGCCACTCTCAAGAAAAAGCAACCAATAATCTGCATCCATATCATCCTATACTCAGAAGAGTTTAAAACAAAACTGAATGTAAAAATGTTCTCACAATAGACCAGCTAGCAGACAAATTACCTGTGGAGTTGGTGATGGCGGAGCTGCATCTGCAGATGAGAGTGGATTGCCCTTAGTGGCCAACTTATACAAGGCTGCTGAACCATCTTGCTGTTGTTTGAAACTTGTAGACTCAAGAAGGCCTAGTAACAGCTCCAGTCCTGGAAAACATTGATGTGCATTCAGAGAATTAGAAATTCAAAAACAGAAAAACTGCAAAAGCCAATCATTTTGCAAGAACAGAAAGTGGTGACAAGAATGGGAACAAAAAATTTTTACCATTATTGTCAACAAAAATATATTGCTGATCATCAGGGGCACAAAGATGAGCAAGAGCCAGAGCAACTTGTATTTGAACAGCCTTGTCTGCTAAACGCAACTGGTATAATAGGTGATTCAGTACCTGTAAAGAGTATGATGCATTAATCTCCCAAAACTATGACTTGTAAGTAACAGTTGGATAAATGCCACTTTCTAACTTTAACAAACTACAGGCCTACCCAAATTGCAAGCACACAACTATGAAATGGTTGAGAGTTAACAATAATTAAACTCACTCGTCCATGAATCTTCTCCTCCAATCTCTTCAATGTCTTTGCCACACAATCTTTAGTTGGCTGCAAGTATTACACAGTGCCTTAATGACTAAAACAAACCATCAAAAATGTACGGACTAGAAACATTTATAATTCTCCTAACTATAAATTCTATGGGTATGTAAAAGGAATGAAACAATTCAATAACCTTGAACATCAGCATATACAAAAGCACAAGAAATTAAAAAAGCAGACCTGGACAATAAACTCCCCTTCCTGGAGTTTCTGAGCACCTCCAGTCCTGATAAGATCTACAACATTATCCTACAGAATAAACCACATGTAAACTTCACTAGACTCCCAGTGCAAGTAAAAACTGCAGTTCAAGTTCAATATATCATAACAAACCAATGGCTACCTCATTATCAGCAAGACCATATAGAGCAAATGCAGAATTATGTTGCAGAGGTTCATTTTTTGAATCAAGAAGCCTAAGCAAGGGCACTAATCCACCGTTTTGCACAATTCCAGCTTGATTGTGTGTGTCCTGAAAGAATAATTGTTTTAGGACAGAAAATACATACTTCAAATAACTATTATTAAGCATTAGGGGAAGAAATTAAAACAAATATTCATATAGCATAAGATAATAAATTACTGATGGGATAATTTAAGTCCACCGACAGACATAATGCTTAAAGTTCTTATCTAGATAAACTGTTCGAACCAATACAAAATAACAGCAAAGAAATACAAACCTGGGCCAAACGTCCAAGTGCAAATGCAGACATTTCCTTGAGTTGCACGTCTGAAGACTGAAGCATTTCAATTAAAGGAGGAACAGCTCCTCTTTGGACAATGTGAACCTGCAAGATCTCCATCTTCATAACTTTTAACAAGAAAACACATAAGCCCTGTGTAAAAATGTAACTAAAACAGACAATCAACAACAAATAATAATCCATATCCTTCACTTATGAGCACAATTCAAGTATCAAACTAGAACCAAGATCTTAACAGACCTTGCAATCAGAATCAGCAGCAGCAAATTGACCTATTAGTAAAGCTGCTTCCCTTTGGCTCTCCAGACAGCTAGAACTGTTGGCAAAGTAACATTTTAGAATGAGCGTGTACTTGCAATACGATTAAAACTAAAAATATTATGAGACTAATAAACGACATGATTCTCCTAAGCAAAAAAGAAAACCTAATGTAAAACTCAGGATCACCTAAGTAATCCAATAACAGGCTGCAGTGCTCCAGCAAGAAGAACTTGTTTCTTTATGCTTGGAGAGGAGTGGACAAGGTTCCCAATCACGCCAACCTGAACACCCTTTATGTGAGTTTATAACAGGAACAAAGCTCCAAAACATGTGTTTTCAGATATAAACAGTTAGATGAGAACCAACCGCTTCATAATGAATAGAAACATCCTCAGAGCACAGCATTAGTATGAGGGTGGGTAAAGCATTGCATTCAACAATCTGCAAATTTGCAAAACATATTCAAATGCACAATAGAGCACCAAAATAATACGACATATTGGAAAAGATTAACTTTACCTGATTTTTATTCTCATCATTCTTAAATGCTAGGGTCCTTAAGGCCCCAGCAGCTGCCCTCTGCACCTTTATATCATGATGCTCAAGCAACTCTACAAGCGGTGGGATTCCACCCTCAATCCTAAACATATAGAAAAAGAACCATTAAATATGTGATAATTAATAGTATGAAAATTGAGAAGAGATATCCAAACAAGCGAACCTGATGCGGGTTTTAATGCCGGCATTTTCATGAGCAAGATTTGTTATAGCATCAGCAGCTTTCCTTATAACTCCATTGACTGCTCGAGAATTACAACCATCCTTATGGTTTTTTAGCAGATTCACGAGATAGGGCAGAGCCCCAGCGTCAACTATGAGTTGTTGATGCTCTGGCTACTTAACATGAAATAGCAAACAGAGTAACTACCAATGTAAGTGGGGAAAAGAACAACATTATAATTGAACCGAAATCAAGTAACTAAAAGTCTTAAATCCAACCTTGACGGCGAGTAGTCCAAGCGCAAACGCACTTCCTTTCTCCACTTCATTCTCCAATGGCATCGCGTCGCCTTCTCTCAACGGTGGTGGCGTTTGAAGATGCTTTACCAGTGCAGGAACCGCACCACACTCCACAATCAAATTCACAATATCCTCTGCGATCGTCAAAGAAAATATAATAAAATAAACACCGAAATCTTTGTAACATTCTAAACGAACTACTGCTAAAACAACAGAAATGGAGATTTGAAATATACCGTTCTTGGCGAGTTCGGAGAGGAAGTGAGTGGCGCGTTTGGCGGCGGAGCGATCGGCTTTCGAAAAGGAGAGAGTGGAGTTGAGAAGGCCGACGTAAAGGCCAACCTCTTGAAGGAGATCTTGGTGAGTAAGGCGAGATTCGACGACCGGTACCTTGCAGCGATCTGCTTTGCCTTCTTCAAGATCTTGCTCCAACTTCCGCTTCAAGCTTCTTCGTGTTTGGGGCTTCTTCTGGTGATCCATTTGGAGAAATCCAGAGGAAGAATGGAGAGAAACGAAGAGTGTAATCTTGGAAAAGTGAAAAATAGGGAGGAAGATTTGTTTTTTTCAAAACAAGCGCGTTTCAGTTTTGGGTTTTATACCGGTAAATTGTTTTGGTGGAGTAGAAATTGGGAAAAAGGGAGCCCGCCAACTGTTTTCAAAACTTGCGCTCCCGCCCTTTTTTAATGCTAACTTGCGCCTGCCTAATTTGGGCTTCGGTTTGGATTTTAAAATTGGGTTTTTTTGTGTAAAATATTTTTTAAAAAACATTTTTAAGACTTATTCTTATTTTAAAGTAGGGAAAAAATCTAAAAACATCTTAGGGTTAATGAAAAAAATAACCATTGATCCAGAAAACAAAAAAACTCTTTTATTATGTTCAGGAATATATCTTTAATAAATATTAAAAAAATAAAAATATGTTGACATTTAATTTAAATGTTTTTAAAATATTAATATTTAAATTATTCAAAATTACTAAAATTAAACAATATTTTTTAATGAAACAATTCAACATAATTAAATTTTTTATTTATAAATTAAATAAATTTTACTAATAATTATAATAAAATAAAAATATAAAAATATTTATTTTGAATGTCTTATACAATTGATAAATATTGATATTTTTATATTGAATACACATAAATACAAGATTTGAGTATCGTACGTAATTGATAAATATGAATATTTTTATAGTATTGTGTTAAAAAAGTTATGAAATATAATTTTTTTTGAAAATTATAACTTACTTTAATTATAAACTAATATTATCTAAAAGTTATTGTGTGAATGGCTATATTGCACTCATAGTTAAATAAAATACTCAAATATGAGATTTTTTTATTTTTTGTATTTATATTATTATTTATATTTATTTTTTAATTTTATTTGATCATATCTTCTACGTTTCTATAGATTTTATTTTTCAAATTTTTATGAACCATCAATCATTTTTTTTTTGTTATGTGATTGTATATTTTACTTATCATTTTTTTTCTTTTTGTGTTATGTGAATTTTTTTTTGATGATTTTATTTATTAAAAAATTATTATGTAATTTTTAAATATGAGTTGTAATGTTGCATTATGAGTTGTTGTTTAAAATTTCACCATCATGCCATTTTTTTATTAGTTATGATTATATACGATATTTGTTATGTGCTTTACGTTTTATATTTACTTGAAAGAAATTATTTTTGAGTATTTAGTCTTTAAACAATATTGATTATATGAGATCAAGTTATTAATCTTATATATCATATTTAATTATTTATATTTTATATATTATTCTTTTTCATCTTTGACCCTGTCAATAAAAGTTGATCAACTCTACCCTTACCTAGAAGCCTCCAAACTTAACTAACTCACATGCCAATCAATTAGTACTCCACAGGATACAAAACTATCGTTTCATATGGTGCAAAGATAAGGCACTAAAGGCTTCATTTTATATATAGTTATAGATACGTGATTAAATATTGTAAGAAATATCATTTTTGATTTTATCCATTTTTATGTCAATTCTTTATTTTGATCTCAAATTTGTAAAAATCAAATGATATAACTGCTTTGTAATAATCTCCTATTTATCATCTTAACAATCAAATAACTGTATTAATGATACGAAAAATATTTTTCATTAGATGATTCGAATGATAAATTGGGAAAAGCAAAACGCTCGCCAATTTAACTTTGAATTTAATATTAACTTGCGTTCCTGCCAACTTGCGCTTCAATTTGGATTTTAAAGTTAATTTGTGAAAAGAGAAAAAAATATAAAGACAAAAAGAATTTGCCACGAGCACACACAGACGTTATTGTACATTTGGTCAATAGTGACATAATAATTCAAAAATATTAAAGTTTAAAATAGAAAGATTAAATATATTGTGAGTAACATTTCAACTGTTCATTATTAATATAATGAATGAATAAACATATTTACACTAAGTTTAAAGTTTGTATTTAAACTTATTTGATAATTAATTCATATATTTTCAAATATTTAAAATTACATTAAAATAGAAAAAAAAAAGATAGTTCTTGAATGAATAAGGTTTAAAATTTTAATATAACATCTCCCATTGAAATATAAAAAAAAATAAAAAACCTCAAAAAGACTTATAAAAGTTGATCCCAAAAGTTAAGGGATTAATTCATATTGGACATAAACTAAAGGATCCCTTGCTGTTTGCTAAAGATTGATCCCCTTTCACATTTTGTTGAATTTCAAGTGAAAAGACCAATCCCATGAAAGAGGGGGTCAAATCCAAGGTATCAATTGGTGCTAATGAAGTTAAAGTTTCAGCAAAGCATCAACTCTTTTTCATTCAATACTATGCAATGATTCTAGTGTGATTTGCAAGCATAAATACACCATCCTTGAGTCATCTTTGCAAAAGGATAAGAGAAGAAACAAGGCACAAGACACAAGTTTAAAGCAAATTTTTTCACATTCTTTCAAGTTTTTCATATCACTCGAGCCTTCATTCATATTTGATATTATCTTGTATTCATTAAGCAATACATACTAGAGGCTTTGTTTTTTTATAGATTACCAAACATTGAAACTCTTGAGAGATGAAGACGTTATATTTTGATCCACAAAAGTAGTGTTAGACGTCCTATCTCTAAACTTTTGAAAGATAAAAAGGGTTACAGCTTAACCTTGACAAGATATTTGTAGTAGTTGAGTTGAACTCTTTAACAAGTTAAATGAGAAAGGATCGATTACAAAATTTTGGTTCTAAATTTCTTTTAAATTTCATAACTACAGTGAAATGTATGTTTAGTACTTGAATCTCCCTTTTAATTAGAATGAACTGGATAATCAATAATTTAGTCTAAATTATATATAGAATTGGTTATGTAAAAAAAAAAAATCTAATTTTCATGAAAACACATTTTTTTTGCTTAAATATATTTGTATGTCTTTCTACTTTAAATATTAATTCGGGTAAAATACACTAACACCTTCAAGTTTAAACCATAATTCTATACGAGTCAATTAGTTTTTAAAATGAACACTTCACTTCAAAAAAATATCTTTTGCTAAACACAAAAGTTAAGTCGTTAGTCAACCATTAATATTCCTATTTGTGTTGATGATGTGATAATATTAAAAGGATAAATTTACTTTTGATTAATTTTTAAAATGACCTAATTATAATTTTTTTAAAAAAAATCAATCTCACCTTTCACCGGTCTGCCATCTTGCAACCAGATCTAGCCGAGGAGTACCAAATCTAGTAAGGGAGCATGCATCTCAATGTTTTTTGAGAAGCACGTTTTGGTGCTCCATTGGGGAGATTAGGCCAAATTTAGCATTTCATAGCTAAATACAACCACGAGGTGGTTGGTTGGTGTAAAGGAGCATTATTGGCCAACCAGAAAGAAAATAAATTAGTGAAAAAAGAAGAATAACATTTTAGATATTTTATATTTAGACATTAATGTCGTTTACACATTTGGGGTGGAGTGTTCGTTTTGAAAATTAATAGACTTACGTAAAATTATGGTTAAAAATTGAAGGTATTAGTGTATTTTACCCTTTTAATTAATTAAAAATTAATCTCATCATGTTTCACAATTTTATTATTTTTATGGTTATAATTATGACATTTACGCATTAAATTAGTCACATGCAATGCATGTATTAAAAAACAAGTATTAAAGTAAAACTATATCAACACAAAATAAAAAGAACTAGGAGTATAGAATCATATATTTTGGTTATTTATCAAAATTTCAATTTACAAATTTTAATCTTTTATCCAAATAATTTTTAAATAAAAGTTAAAAAAAAGCAACAGTAAAAGTGTCAATTGAATGGACTGTTAAGAAATTATTCACCATCTTAACATCTACCTATTATTGAAAAATTTTAAAAAATCCACCTCATTTGCATGTGCATAAAACAAGGATTTCACAAGATCAAACCACTCATTAACCCCTATTTTAGATGGATACCTCGTTAAAGTATAGTATTGAACTTAAATGGCTCGAATGACTTGAATAAGAGCCAGATTAATTTTAGTTTAACCCAATTTGGTTTTGGCCAGTACAAATTGGAGATAGAAATGTTATTTGACCGTATATTTGGTTTGCAAAATAAAATATAATAGAATAAAGTAGTTATTTTATAGGAATAGAATAAGAATGCCATAAAATAAAATAGTTATTTTGTGATATAGTTTATAAAATAGAACAAATAAGAATTGTTATTATAACTCGTTCTGATGTCTGGTTGATATGATTAGTTTTGAAATAATTAGGGAATAATAAAATGATAAAATTACCTTTTGTTATAATTTAGTAAATTAGACAAAATTACTCATTATTATAATATAAAAATATATTTTTTAATCTTTTAATTTTTATTTTCAGTAAAATTTTAAAATATTAATAATTTATAATTAAATTATTAATATAATTGTTATTTTAATTTCTTTTTATTTATTTTCATTAAAAATTTAAATATTAATAATTTAATTATAAATTATTAATATAATTTATTATTTTAATTTCTTTTCATTTTTTATTTATAAGTTGTAATTATTTTCAACAAATAAAGACATTTTTGTTCAATAAATTTTTGATTGTATTCCATAATCATGAAAAAGCGAGGAACATGGAGGGGTGAGGAATGGCTAAACCAAAATTTTAGGGATTTCAAAAACCAACCAAACTAAAGAATAAAATGTGAAAAGAATAAGGATATGACTACTATTCCTCCATAGCAAACGTGCCATGAAATCCTCAATAACATTTCCAAACACTCTTTGAAGCCTTGGATAATGATTTCAGCCCAGACTACAACTGACAATCCCACAATCCTATGAGCTGTGCATATGTTCTTCATTTTTTTTCCCTCTCGTGATACATTGGGCCAAGCTTCTTGGGAATTTAGATCTCGAAGGTCTTCCAAATGAGGTGGAAACAGATAAACAATCTTGCAATACGGGTTGTACGTAGTAGTTC